AATGTTTCCTATAGTTTTCTCCAGTTTTCCGCAAAGTTTCAGCCAGATTGGAACACTCTCCGAGTTTTCGCGGAGTTTTTTTCCTTTTTTGCCGACTCCCTGAATAACCCCATAAAAGAAACTATGCCAGATCCCGCCAAGGCCCGGCAGAGGCACGGTTGCAAGTATGAACATAGGAACCCCAAACTCGTCAACTTTCCAATTTATCTCAGCTCCTATGAAAGCTATCAAAAATTGGTCGATTGTAAAAATGTTTATCATAATATCGGAAATATTATGCCCGTTGACCAATTTTCAGTATCTTTCACTGGAACCGAGATAAACTGGAGCAAAGATTAAAGTGAGGGTTGAAGCAAAAATTAATACACAGTACTTACCAGAATGGTTCCAAATGACCATCTTAGTTGAAAATAGTGCATATTGAGTGATTGGAAAAATCATCTTTTCAAATAATGAAAATTAGTTTAATCAACCTTTAGTTTTTCAACAATTAATACAAAATTATATATTTCCTGATTAATTTTTTTGCTTTAAAAACTTGCGAGTCTCCGAAGAAATATTTATGAAAAAACTAAAAATATTAGATTTTCAAAAAAAAAACCGGGAGCAGACTTTTTCCAAATCCGGAAATTTGGAATTTTTACAAGAGAATGTTGTTTTGAAAACACAAATGGCAAAGAAATCGGGACTTTTAAAGTTTTTCGACAAGAAAATCACATTTCTGAGAAATTGGTTTTTAAAGCTTAACAAATAAATAAACTTATCGGAATGAAATGGGTACAAAAAGCTGGAACTAGGAATGCGTTCAGGAGAATTCACAAAAAATGCAAAAAAAGATTATTCCAGTTCTGTCTTGCAACAGTCTTGAGTTGGTTGTCCACTCCAGATAGCATAAGATTCCTGAAAAATTTCATTCTGAAATATTTGTTCCTGTAAAAGAAAAATGTGTCAACTGATACAATGTTTTTGATATTATGAGAATCAATTTATCTGTTGACATCTTTTCAATATCTTTGACAGGAACCGAGATAACCTGGCTCAAAGTTAACGATCAGGGAGGCCATTCAAAAATTGTTTACCTCAAAATCTTCCAAAACAATCTTATCAGTTTCTCCAGCCATCAAAACTTGTTTCAGCACTTCTATCGGTGGACAATTATTGATTTTTTCTGGTGCCAACATTGGAAGAGGAGTACCATCCGAAGGTTGAAAATGAAAGTGATGCAATGCCTGGCCGAGTCTAAAAATCCAAAATTTAAAATTTTTTAAATAAAAAAGAGCATATCTTACAAAAACAAGCACTGTGAGAAAGAGGCAATATCCTGAAGGCCGTTCCAAGCCAGAATAATCTCCGGACGATCTTTTCCGACGACAGCGCTAGTGATGTCTGGATGGTAGAAGAAAATATTTCGAAGAGCTTCCGGGCAGCTTTCCTCAGTTTTTTGTACAATTTTCCAGATGATTTTATTGATCAAAACATCAAAAAGGCAGTATCGACAGACGTCAAGAAGATTGAGTAGCTGAAAATTCAGTTTTTTTTTAATTTCTAGGTTCACGGTCTCTTCACCTGCTCCTGACTGAAAAACTTCAAGTTTCTAGAGTCTCTCAATGCCAATTTCAAGTGTTCTATGGTTTCATAATATGCATCCAGTTTGAAGAAATTCGGATATTCTTTATTCCTCTCTGCACCTCTTAATCTCATTCCATCGTATCCAGCTGAGTGAGCTTCAAATAGTATTCTTGGTACTGAACAGAGTTTAGCGTCGTTCGTAGCGATAAGATACATTTCAGGGCAGACTGGTGTAGGAGTGGAATTGGTACATGTTGGGCTGCAAGAGTCATTTACAGGCGATGATTTTTTTAATGTGGTTCGAAATTTCGTAAAAGAATGGAAGCCAAGTAAGATCAGCGAATCATTTTTGTTACTTTTGTACAGTTTTTCGAGTTTTTTTCTGAACAATTTCAAACTTTTTTCGAAAAGTAGTTCCGGTTTCATGTGAGGAATGGATTGGCCTAACTTTCTTCACATGTTTTTTTTCTAGGCTACCACGGTCAATTGACTACAGCCAGAAATGATCTGGTATTTACCTAGTGTGTTTTCCATGCGGTTCAAACATGGTGGCCTAACTTTTGCAAGTTGAATTTTCTAGGCCACCATGGTCAATGACCTAGAAATGACCTGATAATCATCTGGTGTGTTTTCTAGGTCAATTGGCATTGTTGCCTAACTTTCACGTTTTCTAGGTCAATAAATTTTTGACAGAAAAATGACCTGATATTCACCTGGTGCGATTTAGGACATTTACCGTAGTGGCCTAAGTTTTACTAACGTTTGCAAGATGAGTTTTCAAAGACAGAAATGATCTAGTATTTCATCTGATCTGATCTGGTACCTGGTGTGTTTTCCATGCGGTTTAAACATGGTGGCCTAACTTTTGTAAGTTCAGCTTTAAAGGCTACCAACTTTTGTGGAATTACATTCGCTCGAAAACTGTTCGAATCAATGATAAAATGTTTTTAGCAGACCACACACTGATTCAGATTAGCTACCAGTTTCCCTTATTAAAAGTGCTACATCAAACCGTATTTTTGTTATAATTCGTTTTTAAAAAACTTACGATTCCATATCATTTTCATCCTCCGTTGCAAAAAACTCATCAACCAGCTCATTGTAGTCTCTCGTTGAAACTTGATTCAAATTCAACACATCCCCATCAATAAACTTCAAAAGATCCTCATCGACCATTTTGACATGCTCACGAGTAGAAAACATCATTCTTGGAATGTAATCCAATGTTTCTTCACCCCTTAGAACATGATCAACAGCTTCAACCTGAAACTTTTCCGATTTTTTGAAAACATCAGGGCGCTCACTCTTAGAATTTTGAATCTCTCGTTCTTCGAATCAATTTCTTTCTTTTCCGCTTTGTAATAGAAGGCTTTTCCAATATCCTTAACTTCCAAATTACATCCTGTAACTTTTTCGATACCGATTTCAGGTACGAATCGATTCGGTTCTTGATTGCATTCCGTACAAGCCATTATCAATTCGTAAATTCTGAAGAAACCTTTTTTTGGATGATCGATTGAACGGTCTTAATAATATTAAACTTACCGATTCTTGACTTCATACATTCGCTTATTATTTCTCCGCCCTTTTCGAAACTCTTCGCATATGCAGGCGATATTCTGGTTGATATAATTCAGCATCTGTCTCTCTTTTTCCAATCTGATGACTTCATCTTTTTAGAGTCATTTTAAAAAATCACCTACATTTGCTTTACTCGCTCTCCCCTTATACTTGGACTCCATCCAGCTTGTACCACGACTGGGAGGATATCCGGACCCAGAATACGATGGTCATTTCTATCGTACATGCTCCACGGTCTCTCGTCCATCAGGAAAACTTGAAGTCTTCTCAAATGGGGAATCAAGCGCATTCCAAGAGCTGTAGGGTATCCAGTATAGGTGTATATTTTCCCAGGCCACAATTTGTCTATTGAGTGTTTGAATTCTGCGTAACAAGCTTCGAAGAGACCAGGTATTTGACAAGACAGTTTTAGTGGTGGATTAGGATCTATACATTCAAATTCTTTGATGACATTATTACCCAATTTATTTGGGTGGAGAACTTTTGGAGGTTGGGGGTCTACGTATGGGGGCTGAAAAGAGGATTATGAATGAATGATGTCTAACCTGCACCTACCCAAATAATCACAGACTCTCCGTCCGGTGAAACAGCGAATCCGTGGACAGAATACATAAGCTGCACTTCTTGCAAAGAAACTATCAAATGAGTTCCAGAATCTTCAGTCCGAATTATTTGTATTCGGCCTCGATATAGAGTATTCTGATCATGGACCCAAACGATTCCCGTAGTCGCGAAATACGCCTTCTTTTTTATTTTATCTCTTGGAATCAATACTCCATTCACGATCCAAACGATATCCAAACGAAGGCCAGAGTCAAAGCAGCCACATAGGAGTTCTGGGTAGATGTCTATTTTTTCAGGATTTCCAAGGTGGTTGGTGACGGTGACGACGACAGGGAGAGAGGGATTTGCAGGGTCCTGGAAACATATAATTTCCACTGCACTAGAATAACGTGCATGTGCGCAGGAGCGGTCATGACTACGACATAGTCTAACTTTCTCAACATGGTTTTTTAGGTCACCACCGTTGATGGTCCAGAAATGGTATCACGTGCGCATGATGTGCTTTTATGCAATTGTAACCTGGTTGCCTACCTTTTGCAAGTTGAGTTCTCTAGGCTATCATGGTAAATGACCTAGGTAACCCACCAAATACATATCAGACTATTTCTAGGCTAATAAAATTGGTAGCCTAGAAAACTCATTTTGCAAAAGTTAGGCCATTATGTTAAAATGATCCAGAAAGCACACCATCGGGTGAATGTTAGGTCACTTTTAGGCCAACCGTCGGCCCGTCGGCTGCTTGAAGTCATAAGACTCACCTCATGTAACACATCCCTTCCATCTGCCACCCACGTATTCAACTTATTCAACTTCTTCTCTTTCAATGTAATCCCTCCATCGGATCTCTCGATTTCCGAATAATTACGACGACATCCATAGAACACCGTCTTGGAATCTCTTATGAAAAAATCTTGTGATGCGTCATCAGCCAAACCGTGAATGTAATCTAGCTTCCATGGTTTCACACCATTCTTTGAGTCATCCAAATTTTTGAAATTCTGGGTCTTCCCAGCGCCGTAGAAATCTCCGTCAATGGTCAGAAACATTGTGTGCTCATTTCCAATACAAACTTTATAAATCGAATCTTCTAGATCAATTTTTCTTAACACTTCTGCATCACTGTCATCTCCAGTCCCCAATTTTCCGAATCCATTTTTCCCGAAAGCCATAGGATGTGGAAGGGTTAGTTTTTCAAACGTTTTCGTTATAACCAATTGATCTGTGTCCACTTCTGAATAAGCAATCAGACAATTCAGAGAAAATTGTGATGGCTTGAAGGAGAACCCAATTTCACGAGCCAATAGGATCTTCGCCGAGGAGTCAAGCCCTTGGCGTAACTTTTTCATCAAAAAGTGATTTTTGTAGATGCCAGATTTGTCGATATAGGTGGCCAATGCTTTGACAGCTTTTCCAGCTATCACAAAGTCTTCATCATAGGCAAGGGATGCTCCAACGATTGCATTGAGCGTTTTGGCGATACCATCAATTTTCGATTCTTTGAGAAGAGTTTGGAATTCGTCGAAATCTTCTGCTAACTCTTGTTGCATGCTGAAAGTCGAGGAAATAGTTCTTTAAATTTTTGATAAGACTAGCGCTAGATGCTAGTCTTACCATGACACCGCCCACTCCCACCACACCTAACTTTCAACGTTTAGCCCTGATAGCCTTTTAGCCTCATTTCCTGTGAAAGATATCTAAAAGTGGTCGACTGACAAAGTATTTTCAACATTATGATAAACATTTTGTCAGCTGACAACTTTTTGATGTCTTTTACAGGAAATGAGATATATGGGCACTAAGTTGATGTTTTTCTGCAACATCAGATCCTCTTTTCAGATGATATGGTTAATTTCTCGCTTTGTTTTCAAATCTAATGAAAATCAAAAAAATGAAACTCACTTAATGTTTTCTGTTTTTCTACCATTTCGTTGTCACATACGGCAACCCTGGAAATCAAAGTATTGCATTTTCGCTTGTTTATTAAAGGCTTGCAGTTTTTTATACTGAAGATCAACTGGGAAAGAAATCTGAAATGACATCAAACAGTTTTCAGATTGCAATACCAAATTTAGGGTTAAAAAAACTTTCAGCTTGAAATTCCAAAAAAAAAATAAAATTTAGAACTTTTCGCAATTCAGAATGTGTTCGATCAGAAAAAAAAACGTATTTGAAAGCCCTCAAATTATTTTAGTAGTCTGAGACCTATCCATTCGTCTGTAATATCACGGTAGCGAAATGTCGCAGTTGCGAAACGTCCCGTTTAGAAATGTCCGTGGGCCCAATTTTTAGCTCAGCAGTATTAATCAATATTAGGTGAAACCTGCGCGCTCTAGGGTGAAAAAGTAAAAAGTGAAATCTCTAGCGAGCCAAGGGAGCACTGCTCTGTATCGATTCATATACAGCTGGCGAGTCTTCTATATGAAGACAAAAAACCGCATCGCTAGTTCCCCCTCTCCAGTTGTCACGAGGAGACATACGAAATTGGTGTGTGGGTTTTTCATTGGATCCCCTTTTTTTTGGAGTCTGACATGTGTCAGGAGACAGAGTGATAGATTAAAATTTCCTGGGAATAACCAAAGGGATTAAAAATAGATTAAAATAGAATTAAAGGTACATGGAGATTCATTTACAGGAAATAAAAGAAAAAATGTATTTTGGCAAGAGAGATGAAGTAAGAAGTATAATTACAACCCTGGGAATGTACAAAATGACAAGAATGAAAACAAAAAGTTTGCAAGAAATTTCATTGCGACGACCGTCTCCGTTTCCTATAAGCGTCGATTTGTTGTCGAATGAAATCTGGAGCATTGTTCCTCCCGATCTCATTGATGTACTCGTTCAGAACATTGTGATCCCAGACAATCTGAAATTTTCGTTTTTTTTTAAATTCGATTTTTTGAAAATATCACCTTATCACTAAATCCTGTTGTTGATGTGATTTTCTTGAAGGCACTCATACCGGTTCTTCTAATTTTCTTCTTTTTTGGATCTGGACGAATTGGAAGGGGCAAATCTTGAAGTGGAACTGGTTTGAAATGATACCTCCAGATTTTTTGGGTCAGTCTGAATTACAGTATGAATATTTTTAGTCTATATCTGAACTTACCGATTCATCACCCGCAAATAATTAGTGGGAAGTGGAAGTTCGTCCCATGTAAAAATCAAGTTTGGCTGATACCGGGCCACCATCTCAATCGTAAGACTCGTTTGCCGAATGAACAGATTGTAAAGGATATACGAGTCACTTTCTTCGATTTCTTTCACGAGTTGTTCGACTAGCACCGGTAGAAGAATACGGAAATTCCACTCGTCGCACACTAGGAACATATTGTAGAGCTGAAAAATGTTTTGATGATTTTAGAATACTATGGCTGGAAACGGAGACAGTGACTTAACTAGTAGATCTTTTCAGTAACATTAGTTTTGTTGAAAAGAAAAAGTTTCAGAAGTTTCAGAAAACTTTCAGAGTTTTGAATACGACAGGTAGTTTTTTTTTTAATGTTTCGGTTTTAGGTAGTAGATTCATATACTCTATGAACTCGGAAATTCTAAGGATAGAAAATTCTAAGGTAGTAAAATATATATGACACATTTTGGGGTCAGGTGTCAGTTAATCTATCTCGTCAAGTTCTACAGTTAACTTTTTGTTATGCCCAGAAATTCTAAATTTGAACCGAGTTATGCGAATAGAATGATCCCCCTAACTTTGAGCTCATGTGTCTCATTTTCTGTGAAAGATATTAAAAAGTGGTTAACTGACAAAATATTTTTTATTATGATAAACATTCTGTCAGTTGACCACTTTTTGACAAAATTTTTGAATCGATTGATATAAAAATCTCAAAAATTTTGGAATTAGCGGACGCCCCCTTTGAGGTAGTCATACATAATTTCTAAAAGAAAAAGTCAACTCACAACATCCTTATCAGCAAACAGGAGACGTCTGGGACTCATTAATCCCTGCATCAAATATTCCAACTCGAAATCCGTAAGATCCAATTCGAATTCATTGGGATCTTGACCCTCTTTTATCGCATCTCGCTCCCGTTTCGCATTAAATCCAACCGAATGAATTTCAAACAGAAATTTGGGAACTTTGAATATAGAATCGTCAAATGTTACAACTTCGTAGTAATCGATGTAGTATCTGGTGTGTGGCAAGTGGAATAGAGCAGTTACTTTCTGTTTGAAGATTCCCTCTGTCGAAGTTTCAAAAAAGTATTCCACCAACTGATTATACCGTTCTCTGCCTTCCTTATCGTTCACCTAAAAACCTCGAAATGAATTTGGTACCTTTTTCATACTTGTCACAGGTCGGGCTGGCCCGGCCCTGCTAAATTCCGGGTCGACCCGGAATTGACAAGTATGCTTTTTTTGGACTCACCTTATATAAATGAACTATTCCATCTTCGATGTAAGAAGTGAGATCCAGTACGATGAGATGATAATAAGTAGTATAAGTTATATAGCAGTGATATTGGTTGGAACCGTCTTGTATGGTTTCAACCTGTATATAAAATACGAATTTGTTTAATTTATAAACTAGTAAAATTACCCGAATCAACGCGTATCTTGGGTCGTTTGGTTTAATATCTCCTTCTGCCATTCGATCTTGAATTTCATTTTTAACCGTATCCACTATTGTCACATATTCCGTAATTTTGATAATTGGCTCCAGGGTGACTCGATCAGTATACTCAATGCAAGCTTTCAGAAGATACACCAATCTGAAAATAAAGAGTAAGAGATGGAAGAAGAAGTTTGAAACCTTTCTGTAAACAGAAACATCATACGTCCAGCCGATGATTTGTGATTTCTGATTCTTGCCTCTGCTGCATTGAGACTAGCCCTAACCTCTTCTAGTATTGTAACTTCTTCTCGCTTTCTGAAATTCATCAAACTACAAAAGAAGAGTCGTTTTACGGCCTACATTTCTTCGAGACGGTCTTCTCTTTCCTCTTCACTCCATCCTGCTGAAGGATAAATCCATCGTTCATTCCACATTTCCAATTCTTCCTTTGGCAAAGTACCGTACTCTTTTTCTGGAAGTGCCATTATCTCATTGAACCCATTCATATAATGCCCTTCAATGGTTACAAAATGTTGGATTCTTCTGAACATTGGAAGTAAAAACACTCCGAAATGAGATGGATATCCGGTCCATGCATATAGTTTTCCTGGCCAATGATCTTTAGCATAATAATGGAACCGCTTAATGACGTCTTCATTTGTAGCAGCCCAATTCACGTGGAGTCTTTCTAGAACTTGTCCAATTGTCGCGAAGTTTGGCAAAGTTTGATGAGCAGCTTCTCTGTGTCCATACAGATGAGATGGGAATTCTGGTCTTGGCTGAAAATTTATTTTTAAAAAATGTTTAGATTCAGTCATTAGGTGCAGTGCAGAATGAGCCATTTTGGAATACCGTCGATGCTCTAATAGAAATTACTTTTAACTAGCCTTTTTGCCGCACCTCTGGCGCTTCAAATAGCTGGCTGGTGCGCCTTCGGCGCGATTTGACCTACTTTTTACTACATACAGTGGCGAACGTTAGTGAGTGTCCCTCTATACTTTTGTTCATAACTTTTCTCAAACTTGTCCAATCATCGAAAACTTTTTTTAAAATGTAGCTGGGTTTCCAACAAAACGTTGTATAATTTTTTTGGAACTCAATCAGTTTTTGTGTCTTCTGAATCTTCACAGACGTGACGATGACTCCAGATGAAAAAAATTTTCCCTCAGAATTTTTTTAAAGATTGGCTTTGTGATGAAAAATGTTTGGTTTAGATATACAGGGAAAATTTTGAAGCGGTTTGGAACACTTGCTCTTGAGATGTGCTCACTGGAGCATAAAAGGTATGGTTCTGGAGTTTGGCTAAAATTTCAAGAGAATGTGTGTCCTTAACTGCGCTACAATATACACACAAAACCTAGTGTTTTGGGAACAGGCAATTTTCATAATTTTTTCATTTTTATGTACCGAAGACAAGCTATGTATTATGAAAAAATATTCTTGTTCCCAAAATACGAAGTTTTGTATATATGTGTAGAACAGTTTAAAACACACATTCTCTCAAAATTTGAACAATTTTGAATCATTTTGAGCCGAGTTATAGCCAAACTCCAGAATCATACCTTTTATGTTCCAGTGAGCACATCTCAAGAGCAAGTGTTCCAAACCGCTTTGAAATTTTTTCTGTATATCTACACCAAACATTTTTCATCACAAAGCAAATCTTTAAAAAAAATTCTGACGGAAATTTTTTTTTCATCTGGAGTCATCGCCACGTCTGTGAAGATTCAGAAGACACAAATATTGATTGAGTTCCAAAAAACTTATACAACGTTTTTTTGAAAAACCAGGTACATTTAACAAAAAAGTTTTCAATGATTGGACAAGTTTGAGCAAAGTTATGAACAAAAGTATAGAGGGACACTCACTAACGTTCGCCACTGTAGTTCATCGCTTCGCTCCTCACTCTGTGGAAAAGGAAACATATCAAAAGACTCCGTTTTTTTTATTCACCATTAGTGCGGCAATTTTTCCGTTGAAAATTAAAATGGGCGGGATCTACAAATTGTCGTTTACAACCATTTTTACCCACTTTTGTACATTTTGAATTGAAACAACTTTTAGAGATCAGTTCAAGAATTTCGAGGGGTTTTTTTTCGCTTCAAAATGGCACCATCTATCATTCAAAAAAGCGACACAGGTCTGCGGACTACAATAGCAAAAGTTCTAAATTTTCTATGACGAAAATTTAATAATTTAAATTCAATTTTAAATTTCTTAAGTTCAAAAACTCACCAAAAAAATAACAGACTCTCCATCCGCTGATGCTGTTATCCCACGGATAGCCTGATGATAAGGAAACTCAGCCAACCTGCCAACAAGCTTTCCAACGCCATCAAAAACCGAATATTCGAATCCCAGTCTCCCTCTATAAACCATTTCCTGATCATGAACCCATAGTGCTCCTTTTGTTCCAAAGTTAACTTTGTTTTTCAAATGATCTTTGTTAATGGGAACCCCACAAATGAACCATTCGATGTCTATTCGATTTCCATGAAAATATGCGCACAGCATATCTTCATAGACTTCAATTTGTGAGTAGTGTCCAAAAAGGTCCTTGATAGTTACAGTTATTGATTTGCTTGGGTGCCAAGGGTCCTGAACATAGATGACTTTTAAAAGGCGAGTACAGTATTATACCCTAACCTCTCTCAAATATTTATGTCCATCCAATGTAAAAATTTCATTTTTCGGAACGTCGATTAGCTTGAACTGAACTGCTCCATCATCACTGCCCTCCATCTCTAAGCATTTCAGGGATCCATAAGAAGTTGAAGGACCACCAACGTTTTGGAATACTGTCTTTCTTCCGGTGATAAAAAATTTTGGAGGGTTCTGAAAGAAATTGAAAATCAAAGAATGCTGAAACTAAGAAACTCGCATTTTGAGCTGTCTCCCAGTCATGCTTTATACAATTCAGTTTTGTAGGCGTCCACTCAAGTTCAGTTCCCGTTTGGTTTTTATAATTCGCTGATTTTCCGGACCCATAGTAATTTCCAGAGTTTGTAAAGAATATCGAGTGCTCTTCTCCAATTTTTGCATCCATAATCTGTTCTGGCAACTTGATATTGACCATTTTCTGAGCATATCGTGGACTACCAATTCCTAGTTTTCCATTCGAATTACTTCCGAAGGCCATTGCACTCGGTAAATCTTCCTTTGGGTAGACTTCCATCAATACCGTACCACTTGACAGTTGTCGAGGGGTTGGTAGAAGTGCGTCCATTGAGAAAAATTTGGTGTTCATGTGTCGTAATCTCCTTTGAATCAACACTTTTGCCGTCGGATTTAGAATTTTTGCCATGGCTATGTACAGCTGTTTCCTGCAGTGTGGTCCGATGGATTCTGCGAAGTTTATGAAGAATTCTGCATCTTCTTCTGCTTCATCCGGTTCTACATTCAAATGTGTTGTATATTGAATCATTCCGTTGAACACTTCACAAGCCTCGCCAAACCTTGTAGCCATTAAACATCGTTTAAAGTCTCCGGATATTCGATGAAATTCATCCAGGTGGTCGTCAGTGATACTGAAAATTATTTTCTTGATTTTTTCGTCGTTTTTAGATGGTTGCTTATTTTCGAAAATATATCGGAAAACCTGTAATAGAAGGGCCCCCACATTGTCAAGCAAAGCACATATTATTTGCTCTAATAATAGCCCACCCTATACATGCACTTTGAGCTCAATTATCTCGGTTCCTACGCTAGATATCAAAAATGTGTCAACTGCTAAAATGTTTGTGATATCATGATAAACAATTTACCAGTTAACAACTATTTGGTATCTTTCACAGGTACCGAGATAAATTGGCTCCAAGTTAAGCCTCTCTATTATTCTACAAAAAAAAATGGAAAACAATTCATTTTTGAATTATTTTCAGAAACCGGAAGTCAATTTTGACCTTAATTCTCCCGGTTCCTGTGGGAAATTTCGAAAATGTGTCAACGTGTGATAATATGTTAGTGATATCATGATAAACATTTTATCAGTTGACAACTTTTTCAAACCTTTGACAGGAACCAAGATATATTGGCTCAGTTAGGGAATCCTAATATTCCGGTATTTTTTGAAATTTTTTGAAAAAAAACTCACTGTTCAACTCCGCCAAAATAATCTATGTTTCCCATAATGGCTTCGGTACCCAGTTTCAAAAATCTGCAGGAAAGAATCTTTTTTTAATCAAAAAGCATTTAAAAAAAGGAAAATTGATAGGATCAGAAAACCCAAAAAATCAAGATTACCAAAAATGCAAAACCGTTGAAATTTTATTGTAGTATGGATCAAGGAAAAAACTGGAAAATTACACGGGGACATATAAAGTTTGGAACATTGGTTGGACCAATAACATCACGGTAGGCTAGAAGGGATCCATGTTCCCAGGTAATCTGAAAAAAATTGTTTTGGAAATTTTGAAGACAAAAGCCACGATCTAAAAAATTGGAATCTAGGTCATGACCTAAAAAATTAAAATCTAGGTCATGACCTAAAAAATTAAAATCTAGGTCATGACCTAAAAATTGAAATCTAGGCCATGACCTAAAAAATTGAAATCTAGGCCATGACCTAAAAAAATCTAGGTCATGACCTAAAAAATTGAAATCTAGATCATGACCTAAAAAAATCTAGGTCATGACCTAAAAAAATCTAGGTCGTGACCTAAAAAATGGAATCTAGGTCAGATTTCTCATCACGTTTAAAAAACCTTTGATTTTTCAAAAATTTTTAATCCTCCCAACTCCTTAAAAGATCGTCTTTTTGGCCCTCATTTTATTTTTTTTTTGTTTGAGATATCAAAAATCTTTCAACTAATGCTGATTAATTCCTTACTGATTAATTGATTAATTCCTTATATTTAGTTTTTCTAAATTCTTAAATTTTCAAATTTCCGAGTTCAACGTTCTAACATTCCTCATTTTACTGAGTTTCTAGAGTTTTGAATTTTCGAAAATTGTAAAATTTTAAATTCAGAAATTCATAAGTTTGAAACATCAAAAATTCAAAATCACAGAAATTCAAAAATTCAGAAATATAGAAATTCACATTTTCCACAATTCAGAATCCTTGAATTGCAACAACAACGTCTTTCTATTCTTTTTCCGAACTACAGTAACCTTAAATTACTGTAATACATATTTCATCCATTTTTAATAAAAGGCGCATATCGTAACAACAATAGCCGCAACTGATTATGCGCCTTTAAATCAGCTGTTATCTATCAAAATACACAAAGAAACACTTACTGTTCGGTTAGGCCATAATAATCGATACTGTCCATGGCCGCCATTTACCCAAGTCCTGCAAAAAGAAGAAAAGGGGAAAAGATAAGAAAAAGAAAAGGGCCAAAATCGATAATTTTTTCCGTCGTTGAAGATGCTCATGTTTTTAATCAAATTCTGACTTTTTTTTGTAATCAAAAAAGGTAATTGGTGAGTGAAAACCATCTGACCGCGGCCGGCCGCATCGATTATGCAGTGTTGGGGTCAGAAAGTGTAAGCGAGCGGCTGCTCGCACTGACTTGCCGAAGGAGACGAGGAGGAAAAATATAACGCTTCTTTCGCTCCCTTTCTCTCTCTCTCCGCATGCCTATGGCGAAATAATAGACGCCAGAGTTTCTCTTCTTTTTTGTCTTTTTGAAAAATTGCGGTTTGATGAGGGGTGTCGGATCCTAGGCCACTCGGCCGTGTACTCCTCGTGGAGCTAGTCTCATGCTTTTTAGTCGAATTTATGAGGAATTTTATGTGTTTCTTGATGTTTTTGCTTGATTTTATCCCCTCTAATTTTTTATAAACACCTGAAACTATTGAAAATCTTAATTTTTCAGGTATTTCGACCCGAAAAACTCCCAAAAAAATATAAAATGTACGACGCATACACACCAAAAGATGTGGCTGGAAGCCTGCCTGTTGAAGTCACATGTCTGGCTTTTCAAGGTAATTTTCACTCAATTGTTAGGGAAACAATCTCAAAAAAGTTTCAGAATCGAACCAAACAGTGCTAGCTGGTGGGCGAGCAGGACATTTGTATGCTTATTCGGTTTCTTCTAGTATGTACCACATTTTGCCATGAAAAATCCAAAAAATAGTTTTTTCAGACCGTCGCGGTGGTTTTGAGCTCTCGAAATTTTGCAAATCGTTTCACAAAAAAGCAGTTCAAGAGTTAAAAGTTTGCGAAAGGGAAGATCTTTTATTGTGTGTTTCCGATGGACAGCTAATGGCTCATCGGCTCAGCGATCAGGATTTTAAAGTGGAGACTTTGATTCATAAAGCGAAGCCCGTCCAAACTTTTGCGAGGTTTTCACCGAAGACATCTGGAGACCTCTACGTCATCGTCGCGTCTCGAAAGAAGCTGTTCCTCTTCAAATGGGGTGAAAAAGACGGTCATAAGGATTTTATAGAAGTCGCGCTGGATTATAACCCCGTTTTTACGGATACACCGTCTTCGATAAAGTATTACCAGTGTTTGAAAAACACCGTTTTTCAAAAAAAAATTCCAGATGCGTCGGCGAAATGGTGTTCTTCTCGGTTCGAAATGAGTACTTCTCGATGACAATGCAAAAGGATAAGACCGCCCGAACGTCTTCTTCAGACGAAGTTGCTCCAGAAGCTTGGAATGGATTCGTGACACGTCTTCTAAATTTCAACTGTCAACCTGGCATCGTGCCAATGATTGATAAGCGACGAGTGGCGTTTGTGAGAAGTGAGACGGTTCAAATGACAGATATTTGGGGGAATCGACCGGCTGATGGGTTGAAGGATGTGCTCACTTTTACAGAGGTCCCCATGCAGATTGGTGGGTTTTTCAGAAGTTCGATTTTGGAAAAAAGGGAGCTGTGGAAGAGAAACGCCGGTGGCGCCGAAGGTGCACCAGTCAGCTGTTTGGAGTGCGAGAGGCGCAGCAAACAGACAATATCTCGGAAAATCACTTCTCTTCCATTTCTGGAAACTTCTGAAATGTTCTCGAATCTTTTTTTTATTGAATTCCCGCCAAAACTGAAAACTCTGAAACATTTTTATTTTTATCAGAATTTTCGGCAAAATTTTTGGCCTATTTTAGGGTTTCTAGCTATTTTCAAAGATTCTTTTTCGATTTTTCCGGTTTTTTCCGTCTGAAATTCGATGGAACGGTTTTCGTGAAGATTACTGTAGATTACTGTAGAAAGCAATTTCCTTTTGTACATAATTTTTTTTGACGTGATTGTGTTTGCAACAAAAAAACTACAAAATAGAAGGTTTTCTACAGTAATCTACAGTAATCTTTGCGAACACCATCCTTTCAAATTTCAGACAAAAAATTCGGAAAAATCAAAAAAGAATGATCAAAAATTGCTGAAAACCTGAAAATGGTCTAAAAATTTGGCTCAAAAAACTCTTTAATCGACAATTTGCAGTCGAAAAGAGCTGAAAATGAGCTGAGAAAAAAAAAATTCTGTAATTTCGGAATATGAAATTCCGAATTTTGAAATTTCCGAAATTTCGAATTTTCCGGAATTTTCGGATTTCCCGGAATTTTTCGAATTTCAAATATTCGGGAATTCGGAATAATCCGAATTCCAAACGTTTCAGATTTTCTGGAATTTCCAGATTTTCCCGAGTTTTCCAATTTTTCAAAATTTGGGAATTTCCGGCATTTTCAGAATTATCGAAATTCGCGGAGAATCGTGAATTCCGGAATTTCGTATTTTTTGGAATTTTCAAGATTTCTGGATTCTCGAATTTTCCGAACTTCCAGAATTATCCGATTCCACAAGTTTCAGAATTTTCAGAAGATTCGATTTTTTTCCAGGAATTTGCGAATTTCTGGAAAAATTCCGGATTTTCCCGAAATTTCTATTTTTCAAAATTTCAGAGTTTCGGATTTTTCAAATTTTCCGGAATTTATCAATTTTCAAAACCAGATTATTCCGTGAATTACAAAATACAAAATGTGCAAATTTCAAAAACCAATCTTTACATATTCGGAAAATAAAATGAATGCTAGATTACGGTAGTTGTCGTTGTACCTCGGCCACGGCCACTGCCGGTTCTCTTTCACATATCCCAATTTTTGTACCAGAACAAGAGATTTCTAAACAAAAACTCTCTAAAAATTGGAAATTTTGCAGTGTACGATTCTCCATATCTGGTCGGAATGCTCTCGAATGGACGTGTCGAAGTCCTTTCTCTATTCAGTGATGTTCCCGTTCAAACCATGAAACTTCCAAAATCAATGAGACTATGTAACGGGGCGAAAGGCCAGATCTTCGTCGCCTCACTCTCCGATATCTGGCTAATGGATACTGCAACGAATCTCCGGAAAAATGTGTACCATTTGATACAGGAGCGACAATTCGAGATGGCAATTCAATTGGCGGATAATTCGAATTTGATTCCGGATGATCAGAAAATTGAAATTAAAAAAAAGGCGGCGTTGAATCTGTTTAATCAGAAGAAATTCGACGAATCGTTTGCTCTATTCGGAGAGATTAAAACTGAAGTGGTGCAAATACTTCGAATGTTTCCAGAATTGCTTCCAGATGGATTTCAAAAACCACCTGGAGGTGTGACTGATATGCCAGCTAACGACAGGATGAGGGCTCTGCTGGCACTTGGAAATTATCTATCGGAGGTTCGAACGGAGCATGCGAAGCATATTGAATTGTATAATAGGCTGAGATCATCTGGACAGGCGAAGAAGACGGATACAGAGGAAATGAATACGCTGTTGTTGACGTTGAGAGTTGTGGATACGACTCTGTTGAAATGTTATATTAAGGTCAGTGTCAGAATAAGATCAGGTGAAAACGGAAATTCTGGAAAATTCAGAAATTTTACAAAATCCGAAATTTTTTCTCGAAATTTCTCAATTTGCAGATTCGAAATATTCCGAAAATTCTGGATATTCTGAAACTCCAAAATTTTCAAAAATTCCGAAATTCCTCAATTTTCAAAACCAGAATATTTCGAAAACTCACAAATTTTAAACATTCCTTAATTTCGGAATATTCAAAATTTCGAAGTTTTCGAAACTCCGGAAGTTCCGAAAATTTCGAAAATTTAGAAAATCGAGGGGTTTTTCTCAAGGGGATTTTCTAGGGTTTTTTGCAAAATTTTAAGGCATTTTTAGTTTTTTCACCTGTTTTTGATTATTCTTTTTTGATTTTCCCGAATTTGGTGTTCGCGAAGATTACTGTGGATTACTGTAGAAAACTTTTTATTTCGTAGTTTCTTTTTTGCTACTACAAAATGCAGTAAAAAAAGAAAATTATTTTTCTACAGTAACCTACAGTAATCTTCCCGAAAACCGTTTCCATCAAATTTCAGAAAAAAAACCGGAAAAATCGAGAAAGAATCTTTGAAAATAGCTGAAAAACCAAAAATGGTCTAAAAATTTTGCCCCAAATCGAAGAAAATCCTCTTAAAATTCTGATTTTTTAAGGGAGAGATGTATTGTCGAGATGAAAAATGACCCCGAAACTTGAAAAAAGACGCTGAAATTGGCAATTTGCCACCAAAAAAGGTGAAAATGAGCTGAAAATCCATTTTCAGACTGAAAAACAATTGACCTGATATTCTGGTTTTTCTGATTGCAAAAATGAAATTTTTCAGAATTTCCAGAATTTTAGGGATCCCCAATTCCGTTCCGAACATCTCTGGATACTGATATTTCAAAACCCCTGCAATCAGACACACTAAAATATCCATTTCCAGACCAAACCCGCTCTCGTCGACTCCCTGATCCGCCTCCAGAGCAACGCGTGCACATTCGAAGATGCCAAGAAAATTCTGGAATCTGAAGGACGTCTCCGATCCCTTTTTGTGCTCTACGAGACTCGAAAAAAGCACGAAATGGCGTTGGATCTTCTGATAGATCAATCGAGTCAAGAGAACGCGGATCCTTTCTTCGACGACGCCATTCAACAAATCGTCGAATATCTTCAAAGTCTCGGAAACAATAGTCTTCCATTGATTTTAAAATATGCCAAATGGGTTTTAGACAAAAATCTCGAAGCTGGAGTTCAGATTTTTACGAGTGATGAGACGGAAATGGCAAGGAATCTGAATCGGAAAGCGGTTGTGGAATTTATGAAAAGCGAGTGTCCAGAAGCAATGATACCGTACTTGGAGCATGTGATTTTTAAATGGGAGGAGCCGGCGTCCTACTTTCATGAGACACTTTTAGAGTACTACGTGGCAAAAGTGAACTCGCTTTTTAAAGATTATGTACATGCTTTTCCAGACGGTGAGTACTAGAATATTCAATTTCCCATCATAATCCCTCCTAGCCTATTCAGATGAGAACATCACTCGAGCCGGCGACGAGGACGGAGAGCTCGGAATCTTCCGAAAACGTCTTCTGAGATTTCTGGAAATCTCTCATTCCTATAGTCCACAAACTGTACTTCTTCAACTTGCTCCTCATGCCTTCTTCGAGGAGAGAGCACTGATTTTGGGACGGCTGAAACAGCATGATCAGGCTTTAGCTCTGTATGTGAATACGTTGAAAAATGTGCCAGCTGCTGAGGAGTACTGTAAGCTGTACTATAATCCGGCGGATGACACCAATTCACAAGTGTATCTCCTTCTGTTTCGAGCCCTGGTCCATCCGAATCAACATCACCACCACTCGATTCCATTTAACGCCGATTCGACGCCATTCGGATCGTTTAGAGATGACGTTTCGGAGACGTCGACAGTCGTCAACTCAACGTCTTCTTATCAGCCGGACGTCAACACGGCGATCAAGATTTTGGCGAAGTATGCGGATAAAATCGATACGATCGGAGCGTTGAATATGCTTCCTGCGAAGACACCGTTGAGAGTTGTTTTCTCGGCGATTAATGCAGTCATTCAGACAACTGGACGGCAAGCTAGTACGGTAGGTGTTTTTGTGGCGGTTATTCGGAAAATTGATATTTTGAAATGACCGGAATTGGCTAATTGCAAACACCATCACGTCAAAATGCAGAAAAAAAACTACAAAAGGGAATTAGTTTTCTACAGTAATCTACAGTAGCTTTCACGAACACGGTCTTATCAAATTTATTACTAGAAACCCGGAAAATTTGAGAAAAAATCTTTGAAAATAGATAGAAGACCTGAATGGGTCAAAAAATCTTGCCGAAAATCGAAGGAAAAATCAATTTGGAATGTTCCAGAAGTTCCGAAAATTCAAAAAATCCAAAATTCCGAGTTTTTTTGAAAATCAGAAAGTTCCGAAGTTCCTAGTTTTCAAAATAAAAATCCCAAAAACCTGAAAATTCCGGAGTAAGGCGTTTTAGTCTAAGCCTATAATTTTGAGCAGAAATCAAAATAGTATGTATAAAAATATTGATTTACTTTTTTTGTCCACCTACATGTACCGAACAATCCAATGTACCCTTGGAACCAATGTACCCTAAGAACTCGATGTACCCTTTTTCGATGTACCCTTGGATACTGGACCGGAAGTTCGAAAGTGTCGAAAAATTCCGGAAAATTCGAGAATTCCGGAATTTCAAAGATTTAAATATCTGAGTTTACCGAAATTCCTGGAAATTCCAAAATTCCGGATTTCCGGTAAATTCAAATTTTTAAAAATTTGAATGCTCCGGAAAATCCGAAATTCCAGAGATTTGAAATTTCGAAAAATCTGGAAATTCCGGAAAATCCGAAAAAATTCGAAAAATCCGGAAATTTGCAAATTCCTGGAAATCCAAAATTTTGAAAATTCGAATTTTCCGGAAAATCTGAAAATCCGGAAAATCCGAAATTCCGAAAATTTTGAAAATTTTTGGCATTCTGAAAAAAACTGAATGTTCTGAAATTTCGAAATTTTGAACATTCTGGAAAATCGAATATCCTGAAATTCTCTGTTTCCGGCTCGTCACATGTTTGTCCGATTCAGACACTTTTGTAGTTCTATTTCTTCTGAAATCTTCTATTTTCTAAGCAGCTCCATCTCGTCCGAACAACAGTAAACACTCTTGAATTTCCGATTAGACGCATTAGACCTCTTCCAAACATCAACACAAGTTTCAACTAGAAACACAAATTTTCCCCCTTTTTTTCCCTGTTTTTGTTATTTCTTTTCCACAACTTCCGGTGATTCCCCCTCATCCGCCCACCCACAATCTTTGAGATGTTCTGAAAGTGTTTCAGCAGAAAAAAAAATAATTTCAATTTTCAGAGAAAAATGGAGAAATCCGTGTCAGAATGTGCGATGACGAAGAAATTGGAGCGCAAGAATCGAGCGCAATCGACGAAGATCGTCGTCACGTTCTCGTCGGAATGCGTTGTTTGTGATAAGAAAATCGCCGTCAGCGCATTCGTTCGATATCCAGATGGACGGCTAGCTCATCTCTATTGTCATAACGATGTTAAAATTTGAAATTCTCGAAATTCTGAAGCCCCGCCCCCTTTTTTGTAAACGGTACCAAGTACCTCACTACTGTAATTATGCCTTGTATCTTAAGATTTTTGTAGCATTTGTAGTCACTTTTGTCTCAATTTTTATGTGCCTTTTTTCCAATTTCTGTGATGATCAAAATTAACACTACTAGTCCCCGAAACAGGCTTCCATTTCGATCGGTCGCGTCGTGAAATAAGGTGTTGTGTACGCAAACACCGCGACGCGCAAATGCATAGACGCGCCGACCGAATAGAAGCCTTATTTTGAGCCTGAAACCTATACTGACTTGTCTAAAATCTTGTACTACGTGTATAATTCATTCATTCATGTTTCATATAATGCATTGCATACAATATACAATCTGCCATTTTATTGTTCTCGAAAATTTACAGTTTTTTTTTTCACAATTTAATTTTAGGACAGAAAAACGGGTGGGAAGGGAATCAAGGTAAAAGATTTACAGTACAGAGCAGCACGCGAGTTTGATCTCCTCGAAAGAGCAAGTGTCGGTGCAGCAATCGGAGAGGGCCGCTAGAAAAAAAATAATTCAGAAGACGTTAGACCTCTGAAACTCACTCAGCTCACTGATCTTGTTGGACGGTTGACATTGCTCAGTGTTGCTCAAAATCCGACACATTCTTTCCAATTTTTTCAGACAAATTTCAACGGGAAGCATTGCTTCAGAAGCCAGGAGTAGGCAGAAGAGAAGCACGACGACGGCGATAGTCTTCTGGAGACTTGGCATTTTTTGGGGAGCTGAAAATTTCGAAAAATGAAATTGAATAGAAGAATAGAAAAAAAGGAGAAGAAATGAACCATCTGAAACTTGAAGAGCCGAAAAGAAAAAAGGGGGCGGAGCCTAAAAAGGGGAATCACGAGTTTCAAGAAACATGAGACACAGTCTGGATAAGGAATGTCCTTGAGAGGGAGGAGCGGAAATGGGGGTGGAAGACAAGAAGCATCAATGATCTGTGGCCTAGAAATCCAAATTCTGAGTTTTTAGGTCAGAAGTTTTAAAATAAGATCTCTGTTTCAAAACTACTACTATAATGTTGTTCTTCTTTGAAGGGGAGGTCCATAGAGTCTCAAATTACTAGGAAGAACGTGTGGGGAAGTTCCAAAGAAGTGGGTGTATTTGAAAAAAAAACAAAAAAAGTTCAGGCTCTCGAAAGGATTGAACCCACCGGCTTCCTGAGATTCAAAAACAGATGCGTAACCACCTGCACCACAGCAATCCGCCTAGAAATAACCACCGATGGTTACTATAAGTGCCGGAATGCAGGGGGAAGCGGCGCCCACAGCGACGTCATAATGTGTAACTCCCTTATTCCCCAATGACGTCTTCTGAATATATAATTAGTCATAAATCTCTAATTTTTCGAACTTCTCCGATTTCTGATTATATTTTCTTTTAGAGGGGGAAGATATCAGATATCATATGCTCTTCTTATTTTCGGATCATGAACCAAAAAAGTAAAAAAAAACTCGTAAATATCCGATTTCGTACATATTTTTCAACATATTTTCTTTGTTAATTGGATCATGACGACAAAAGTGCTTGTCAGGTTTACAACGATCAAAAACATATATAGAAGACGTAATCAGGTCTAGAAGCTTCGAATTACGGAATTACGGAAATGAGAAAATGTGATTTTCGGATTTTTAGAAGTTTTCAGAAGCTGATGACGTTTATAAAACTGAAAAAAATAATCCTAAAGATCAAATATGATGCCAGAAGGATCGAACTTGTGGTCAGGTGCCACTGGTGGAACAGCAGACGACGCCACTACCACTGCGCCACGCCGACCCAACCACGTTACAAACTCATAACTAAACTATAAGGGTTGCCGTTTCCAAACTATTTCGAGCACTTTTGACTCGACTTTCCCACAGCTTCAGAATACGTGATTCTCGCCAAGATCCTTTTTTGTTTACTTTGTTTGTTCCAAAAATGTTCAGAGATCAGCACATCCGGGTGAAACTATATGCATTTTTTAGTGAGGAAGAGGTTGGGAGGAGTAAAAAACAAGGCTTTTTGAGAGGGTAATATGCAATTTATTGAACATGAAATTCGAGAACTTGTGAGAAAATTATGAGTAATTTGTATGGTACAATGAGAAGGATTAGGTACAAGCTGGGTATTAAAAAAAGAAGAATAAAGAAATTATATATTTTTTTAGTTGTAAATGACTAATTTTTAATTCTCTTGAGCGTATTCGATGGAGACGTTCCGCGTCTCTTAGGATTCTTCTGACGATGCCCCGATGACGTCGAGAATCGATGAACTTCTGTGGATTCACTGGACGACACCGATATGAGCACTCCTTGATATTGCCGTCCAATGATGTGCGCATTGGAGCATTCGAAAAGCTCTCGCTCATCAATAATCGTCTCTTCGCGGTTCTCCGAAACTTCCAGAATCTCAATCGAATCGTCATGAACCACATAGAGGAATGGCGCCGTGTAGGTGAACTCCATTGGCATCTTCTCCCATTCAATTGTCATCAATCGAGTTGGTTCTCCATGAAGATTCACGAAGATTCCGTGGTTTTGATAGGCGAGAAGAACCTCGTTTTGAGAGATGAGGAACGCGGAGACTGGGTAATCAGCTGGACGTGGCGGCATCAGACGCCGTGGAGTTGGCTGAGTGGAGTCTAGTGGAACGTAGTAAAATGTGTCAGAAGCGAAGATGATTCCGTTGGGGGTGCTTTCGACGAAAGATACTGGTTCCGGGACGTCGAGTTTCTGGAAAAAGAAATGTATGGTTATTATAGAAATGTATGGTTATTATCCAAAACTGGTCATGATTATACTCATTTCGAAGCTAATGAATTGACAAACAATTTCAAAAAAATTGCAATATTTGGAATAGCTTGAAAATTGACCAAGCTACGGCCGTTTTAAAATTTTCGTGGTGAGACCCAATAATTCAAATCTTACAATGAAACTGCTGAACACATCCTTCGTGGAGCTGTACTTCCGAATATGAAGGTGTGTATCATCCGAAAAAAGAAGATATCTTTGTCCCGACGATTGCTGATGGTATCTGACAGTGTGCACATTTTTGAGCTCTGGTAGAATCTCCGGACGAATCGATGGCTGAGTGCTTTGCATGGCCAGTGTTAGCGAATCCATTGGGATCAGAGCCAGCTGACGTTTCTGATTGACCACCATTGCGATGCAGTTGATTTCCGACATGATTTCCAAAGAGGTGACAGACATGACTCCAGAGATTCGAATTGGGCTTCTGGGTTGAGAGATGCTGGTGAAGAAGAGACCAGTTTGAGTGGCGAAGAGAATCCAGTCTTCGATGGTCTGAAATTTTAATTATTCATACACTTTCCCAAATACATTCTGCCTACCACAGCCTTATAAATTCTCAAATTGTTCGGCGAGTTCAACACCAACAAACAGCTGAACTCTGCAATCGACGCTGGCTTCGAGTTGAGCATCATCCTCTTCCGTTGAGCTGTCTGAAGACAAGCCGCCCATCTTCCAGCAGCTTTTTGTGATGGTGCGAGAATATACAGGGATTTACGTGGCATTTTGATCATTAGAGCACTGTTAGCTCTCATCGAGTCATCACAATCCACTGGCATCTCTTGTCCCGTACGTAGAACCCATTGTTCCTGATTCAAATCAATCCAGAGGAATGGTTTGTCCATGTCGGCTCCATCATTGTTGTAGAATGCGATTCGAGTCAAATCCATTCTGGCCCACGATGCGATCCATGTGGATCCCGGCATATCATCCTGATAGACTCTCAACCATCCATTCATACGTCCTTCTGGAACATCAGACACCGTCGTTTGATTCTCCTGGTAATATGTGGCACATTGGACAGGCATTCCGCATGTGTTGTTGACACGTGGCGCACAAGCAGCATGCACCTGGATTCCACAGTGTCGGCAGATCCTCATCTTTCCCAGACAGGCGATGCCAACAAAGCATAGAGAGCATTTGATGGAGAGCACTCCATAGTGACGAGTGTCATTCCATTTGTGAGGGATGTCATGGCGCATTGTTCCTGGACGTTGGGTCAGTTCGCTGGCTGATTTGGAGACTTCTGTTGTCGTGGTGGTGGTGGTTACCACTGTGGTGTTGGCAGTGGATTGAGATCGCTTCGAGTCAGCCAAGATACGTCGTTTCTCAGCGAGATCTCCCATCAGCTTTTGGCGTTCCTCTTCGAGAGCGAGCATCTCTTCGGCTTCGCGTTTCTGCAATGACGACTGATTTTTGTCAAGGATTTGTTAGATATTTGTGGACCAGGAATTTTTATTTTAAAATTATTTTTCAATATCTTTGAAAAATTAAAATTTGCTGAATGTGGATCTAAATGGTCTGAAATGACTTTAAAATTATCTAATTACCTAAATTAGCCTGAAATAATGAATCATTCCCTCTTTCAAGCTCTTTTTCAGCTCTTTTTGACTGCAAATTTCCGATTTTAGGGTTTTGTTTTCAAGTTTCGGGGCCATTTTTCATCTAGAAAGTAAATTTTTACCTTTAAAAAATCAGGATTTTGAGGGGATTTTTTTCGTTTTTTTTTGCAAAATTTTTAAACCTTTTTTGTTTTTCAGCTACTTTTGATACTTTGTTTTCGATTTTCCCAATTTTTTGTCTGAAATTTGGTAGGATGTTGTTCGTGAAGATTACTGTAGAAAACCTTCTATTTTATAAGTTTTTTTTGCAAACACAATCACGTCAAAATGCAGAAAAAAGCTGCAAAAGAGAGTTAGTTCTCTACAGTAATCTACAGTAATCTTTTCGTCCCATCAAATTTCTGGCAAGAAACCCGGAAAAATCGAGAAAGAATCTTTGAAAATAGCTAGAAAACCTGAAAAGGTCTAAAAATTCTGCCGGAAATCGAAGAAATAAACCGCTAATTTTTCGGAATTTTCAGTTTTGGCGGGAATTCAAAGAAAAAGATTCGAGAACATTCCAGAAGTTTCCAGGAATGGACGAGAAGCGATTTTGCTTATTTTTGTGAATTTTTTCTTCGTTTCTATACAAATCTACATATTTTTCTACACTATTCACCGTAAAACCAGTATTAGAAAGGCACCTTCAATTGAAGTGTGCCCCTAGATACCCTCAAAAAATGTAAGTGCTCCCTCTAATTGAAGGGACCTTGTATTTGAAATACATTCTCTAATTGAATTGCCCCTTTGCTGAATTACTAGACACCTCACAAAAAATAGAAGGGCCGGCATTTTTAATACAGGTATTACGGCAGTAGGTCTTTACCGCTCATTTCAGGGCCTGTCTCCAAACTCACATAAACCGTAGTATCCATTTCGGAGACCGTACTCAACAGCGTGCTTCTTCTGCCCAACTTTGGCTGCTTATTCTGTTTCGCATTGATTTGTGTATGCAAATAAGCGACAGTCTCTTCCGATTCCGTCACCTGCTGATTCTTCTCTAAAAGTTCCTCCTCCAGCTTGTTCACTTTAGCCTCGAAATCCGCATTTTCTCTCTCCAACCGCTTGCATTTGTCCTGCGAATTCTCCCAATTCTGCTTATGCTTCTGAATTTTCTCCAACGCCTCCGTGATTCCTTGTCGAAGACGTACGTTCTCTTCCAGGATCTTATCTTGCTGTCTTCTGACCTCATCCAGAATTTGTTGAACTTTGAGGTTATCCGCTTTGACCTCCTCGATTGTCTTTCTGGCACTTCTCAGCTCACTTTCTCGCTTTGAAAGTGTCAATTTCAACAGTTCCACGTCTTCCTCGTTCCTCCTCTCCTCACTCTTCTGTCTAGACAACGTCGTCAACTCTTGGCGATAATCCTTATGAACCTCTTGAATCTCCTCCTTCAAGTATTCAATCTTCTGAACTTGACGAGAATTCTCCGCTCTCAACGTTTCCAACTCTTGCTCGACTTTCCGTTGATTCTCCAGCGATGCCTCGAGTCCCCGAATCCTCACAACCATCTCGTTGCACTGCTCGATGGCACGTCTTCTGGATCCTTCTGCTGTCTCTTTGAGCGATTTGAAATGAGTACACTGTTTGTCGGCCATTTCCAAATGCCGTCCCATTTGATTCAACTTCTCGTTGGTCTTCGAAAGCTCGTTTTTAACAGAATCATGTTCTCTTTTGATGACTTCTAGGCCAGCGATCCGCGTTTGGAGCTCCTCGATTTGTTGCTCTCGTTGCGTGGGAAGGATCGTGAGCTCTTCAAGTTCTTGCTCGACTCGTTTCTTGAGCTCTGAGATCCTCTTCGCCTCTTCCAACGCGTCATCTCTCTGTTTTTCAAGTTCTGCCTTCTTCTGATCAAAGGTAGTGAGTTGGCGACGAGCGTCGATGAGATCACATCGGATATCGGCTTTTTGGCGGGTTAGCTGAAATTTTCGAAATTTTAGAAGTTTTTATTTCCCCATACTTGCAAGCGGGGCGGCCTGGGCAGATGGCGGCCCGGCTGATAAATTGTCTCTAAAACGAGATATTCAGACGGTTTTGGTACCAACTGATAGATCTCGTCAGGGCTCATCACGCCTATATCATTCGAGCCGGATTCAGGTCCGATAACATTGTCGAAAAATGTGTTTGAATGACAAAAATCTGTTTTTTGTCAAGTTGGTCGAAAGTCGTCATTCAAGGCCAGGTTGCGGCAAGTTACCGGAATGGCATCAGGCCCGAATGATATAGTCGTGGTTTTCCCTGTCACGATCTATCAATTGATGACAAAACTGTTTGAATATCTCGTTCTATGGACAAGTTATCAGCCGGCCCGCCATCTGCCCGGGTCGGCCCACTTGCAACTATGATTCTCCCCGATTTACTAACCCTCATATTCTCCTCTTGCAAAAACTTGGTAGCTGTATCCGAATCTCCCATCGCCGCGTCCATTGACTTCTTCAAGGCTTCCAACTCCTCCTTTGTCCTCTTCACCAACTCATTTTTCTCCGCCAAATCCTCCTCCAACTTTGCATTTTTACTCTTCAGCTCGCTCATTGTCTCTTTGATCAGTTTCGCAGAAAACTCCAACATTTCATCGTTCTCTTTCTTCAATCTTGAATCTTTTCGAACTGGCGTCAAGAAATCGATCTGACTTCGAAGCTGCTTAACTTCGCTGAGCACTTTTTGAGTGTTCTCCTTCTCCTTATGATCTTCTAGACTCTTTCGATCGCTCTCCTTCAGACGACTTCTATACTTATCTAGCTTCTCCTCCAACATCCGTTTTCCACTTGCCATTTCGGCCATCGTTCGATTGTATTCCTCACTCAAATTTCTCAATTTATCCATCATTTTTTGCAGCTCATCGTTCTTTTGATAGATTTCTTCCGACTTGAACACATTCTCTTTTTCCAGATCGAGAACTCGTTTTCTTAACAAATTCAGCTCCTCTTCGATCTCTTTTTGATCATCTGATCCTGTTTTGATCGTCTCCACCATCCGTTGATTCTCCTGTTCCAGTGATCTGCATTTGTCTTGGAGCTCGCGGATTTCCTTCTGCTTCAGTGCCAAGACCTTCTCCAACACTTCAATGTCTCGAGAATAGATTTTCGTCTCTTGTGTGGATACTCGGATACTGTGCTCAACCACTGCACTTTCATTTAATCCGGCTTTATCGATTAATTTGGTTTGGAGCGTGTCTCGATCTTCTCGAATATCTTTGATGAGCTGCTCCTGTTCTAGAAGCCGTTTTTTCAGTTCTTCAGTTGTCTCATTGTTCAGATCCACCACCTGGAAACAAAAAAATTATTGCAAAAAAAACGAAATTTCGCTTACCTGATAAGGCGATGAATATCTTCCTGGTTTACAAGGCGACAGAGCCCTTCTCCGCGGAGTTTTCTTTGACGTCACTGACTGTGGCGTTGTGTAAACTGAGTCACACATCGCTGAAATAGGTTTGATAAGATAAAAATGAAAAAAAGCGACGAAAAACGGAAAACCAGTCAACGGTGAGAGTTCATGCAAATCGGTCAATTTTGAATCTCCCTCCTCGAGACGCAAACACAGCGACGCCATGTTGCACAGCGGTCGAGAGAAAGAGCGTGCGATTTGCGGAGACGCAGAGAACCAACAGCGGGGGAGTTTCAAAAATCAATAGGAAGGTTGTAAATAAATAGATCTGCGACAAACAAGGATAAGAAAGACACAGAAATGCTCAAAAATAGCATATCTGCAAACTGTTTTATCGTGGGACAAAGTGTAAATACAATAAATTATAATAAATATGATATTCACAGGACGACATCAGCAAGATCCGTTTACTTGTAGAACTCAAATTCGTTGGTGTCCTTCTTGACGACATTTTTATAGGCTTTCTCCAGATCCTTTGTGAGCACAACGTAGCGATTCTCGCGAACTGCTTGCATTCCTGCCTCCTGGCAGATGGCGTTGATGTCAGCACCAGAAATCTTGTCTGGACGAGCCACCCAATCTTCCAAATCAACGTCATCAGAGAGATTCATTCGAGCACAAACGGTCGAGAAGACGAGACGCTTTTGACGACGATCCGGAAGTGGGAACTCGATCTTACGATCGAGACGTCCTGGACGGAGAAGAGCGGGATCCAAGGTGTCTTGTCTGTTGGTGGCCATGATTACTTTGATGTTGGTGCTTTGATCGAAACCATCCATTTGATTAAGCAACTCGAGAAGGATACGTTGGACCTGAAAAGTATTATTTGGAAATGCAATGAAAGAAAGTAAGAGTACTTCACGATCAGCTCCTGTTTGAGCGTCGAAACGTTTCGTTGCGATGGCATCAATCTCATCGATGAAGATGATAGATGGGCTGTTTTCTTTAGCCAGTCTGAAGACATCTCGCACCATTCGTGGTCCTGAAATTTAAACATTGCTCTATTAACTGTTTTTGAGTCAAAAACAAACAATTTCTCACCTTCTCCGAGATACTTCTGCACAAATTCCGAACCGACGACCCGAATGAACGAAGCAGCAGTGTTGGCGGCGACTGCTTTAGCCAACATGGTCTTTCCGCATCCTGGTGGTCCGTACATGAGAACTCCACGTGGAGGGTCAATTCCAATTTGTTGGTAAAGTTCTCCATGAGTCAACGGAAGCTCGACGGCTTCACGAACCTCTTGCTTCTGCATATCAAGTCCTCCAATATCCGAATAAGCGACGTTCGGCTTCTCGTCAGGACGAAGCATTTGAATAGAGCTATCGGCTTCTGGTGGCAGCACATCTACCAAGGCATTCGAGTATTTGTGAAGAGAAACGGAACATCCTGGCTTGAGAAGTTCGCGATCAAGAGTCGAAAGCACTCGGACAAAGTAGTTGGAGCCGGTGGTGCTACCGACGATAGCATGCTCGTTGTCAACAGCCTCCAAAAATTGACCGATGACGAGGGGAACGGCTTGAATACGTTTTACTTCTTCCTGCGCGTGGAGAAGTTCTTTCTCGAGATTTCTGGTTTCGAGCTTGATGTAATCTTCCATCACTTGGAGATGTGCAAGATGAGTTTGTAGGCGAGTAAGCTTGATGCAGTCATCGTTCGTGTTGTCGATGAGAAGATGTTGTGGCGGAGGAGCGCAGAGTTCCGGCTCCGGCACGATGCCAAGTTCAGCCAACGCAGCGAGTGACATTTTTCTGGAAATTATCATCAAATGTGGTGTTAAAAAACACAAGTGAGAAAGAGAGAGAGAGAGAATCTCAAGAGAGAAATAGACAAAAAAGTTGGGATATTTTCAGGGAAAAGTAAATCTTTGCTGATTTTCGCGAATTTCAGTACTTCCTTGACTGAAATGTTTTTTGAAACCGGAAAAATGAACACATTTCGAAAAAATTTTACTGAAAAGAAGCCAAATTTCCAGAAGAAAACCAGGAATTTGCTGAGAATTCGAGCCAAAAATAATGACAAAAATTGAAAGCGCGCCGCTGGTGGATTACTGTACCGGGCAAACCTGAAGATCAAACTTGGCTCTCAAAAGCGAGAAAAATTCAAAAAAAAAAAGATTTTTGAAGCTAATTTTGCTGAAAAATATAATTTTCAAAGAAAGTTGCGAAAATACTGAAAAAAAAAGACACAAAAAACGGCTCTCAATTAAAACAATACAGCCGCTCGATTCAGAAGTTTTAGGCTATTACCGGAAAGTCGAAAAGTCTGAAAAAAATTAGGTCTCAGAGCGATAACTACCCTAACCTAAGAACATTTTTATTCAGGATGTATTTTCCCGTTTTTCACTGCTTTTCTTCGAGTTTTCTGTTGTTTTCTCCAGAAAAGTCGGTAATAAAAGTTATTTTATAGTGAAAAAAAAACTCTGAAAAAACACGAAAATCGAAAAATACAAATGAAGCTTGTGCAACAAAAGGAAAGGATTACTGTAGCTACATGTAGTTGAAAATAAAGAAAATTGGCAACGATTACTGCAGGGGGAAACCAAAGAAACCAAGGAAATACTGTAGGAAGAATTAGTCGAAATAGAAGTTTTTGAAATTCTCCAATCTATCTAATTCCAATTTCTCCCCATTATCTGCAAAATCCAATGCCCCAAACTCATCCACTTCCAAAACACACAATCCATTACACACCCACAAAATCCCAGCTCGCCTCATTTTTCACTTTGTGTCGTACAGCCCATTATGGCACGTCACCATAGTTTCCTAATGGGGTCGTCCCCCACTCATCTTTTCTTTTCCGTTTTTTCATAAATCTCGAAGTCAAAAAGTCATTTGTCTGGCTTTTTCGTCTTCCAAAATCTCTGTAAAATGTGCCAAATGAGCGCACAATCGAATATTTTGATCGGAATTAAGACATTGATTATTCTGATTCCACTTCTTCTTACTATTCGTTTTGGAGTGATTCATCTGTACGAGAACAGTGAGGAATGTCCGAAAGATGAGAGATTGGAGTTCGATAGATGCTCACTGGTGGGTTTAAGCTCGGTTCCTGTCAAAGATATGAAAAAGTTGTCTACTGATAAAATGTAGGGGATACTATGATAAAAATTTTATCAGTTGAAAACATTTTTATATCTTTTACAGGAAACAAGATAATTGAGGTCAAAGTTACAACTCTCCAACAGAATGCGCCCAAACTTTGAGCCAATTTTTCTCGGTTCCTGTAAAAGATTTTTTTAATTTGTCAACTGATAAAATATTTATCAACATTTTATCAGTTTACCACTTTTTCATATCTTTTATAAAAACCGAGATAAAAGTACACATCTTTTATAAAAACCTATCTTTTATAAAAACCGAGATGTTCAAAGTACACATTTAAAAATTTCAGATTTTCGAACGGGCCTAACTCCTGCTACAGTAACCCAAATCAGATGAAAAACCAATTTTTGATTTTAAACTGTTGAGTGCTTCACAATGAGTATAAACAGGCCTAGTTTTAGAAAATTTTGAAAATCTACAGTAATCCCATTAAAGGCGCAGGGACAAAAGAAGTTTCAAAGTGTAGCGAAAAGGGTATTTAGGCTCATATTGAAGCTCTCGACGTCTTACAGCCAAAAAATGTTGTTTCAACCGTCTTGGGTTACTGTAGCAAAAGTTAGGACCCGTTGGAAAATTTCAAGAATTCGAAATTTTCAAGGGTTCTACTGGCACTTTGAGCACGATTTTCTCAATTTCAGTAAGAGATATAAAACATCTATAAACTGAAGAAATGTTGCTCATATTATGATAAAAATTTTATTAGTTGGCAAAATTTTGATATATTTTATAGAAGCCGAGATAAATGAGCTCAAAGTTGACGGTTTGAGTGGACTTCTATTTGAGCTAATACGGTATTTGAAGTTTGAACTCAATTATCTCGGTTCCTATGAGAGGTATCAAAAAGTTTTCAACTGATAAATTGTTTATCATAATATCAGAAATGTTTTGTCAGTGAACAGATTTTCGATATATCTCATAGGAACTGAGAATTAAGCACGAAGTTGAAGGAAGGAATTCTATTAGGGTGCTTACGGTAGAACGCGGCGTTCTTCCTATGCTTCCAGATTCTATGAGTCCAAAATTCCAAAATGGATTCATAGCATCTAAAATTTTTTTTAAATCCTCAAATTCAAAAATCGAGTAACTCAGAATCTCTATTCCAGAAGCTCTCCGCATTTGGCGTCAACTACCGTATGTGGCAATCCGCCAACTTCCCTGCCCAGGACCTTCAACTTATTTCAAAGCTGAAATTACAGTGTCAAGAAGTTCCAGTAAGCAATGACGCTCAAATGAGAATCCGGATTTCTCTATTTTTCATTCAGAAATGCTTTGAGAATGTTCCTTCCCACTGCAAGGAGACCCCTTCAGCAATAGAGAGCTTCCCAATGTGGTGTCGACGAATCTATTTTTTCAGTGGGCCATTTTCGAAATGTGCCGGGAAGGTACCAGATTTATTTAATTCGGAAAATTTTGAATCACAATTTCAGATTAACCAAATCTCTGGCAGTAACGAGTGCGCCGAAAACTTTTTGGATTCCAAATTTTTCGAAAAATCGCATGAGGCCAAGTGTCAAATTTTGGCAAATAACAAGGAATGTATCCATGAAAGCGTTGCCAAAACTTGTGCGAAAGTCATGGCTGATGTATTGGCGCAGGTAAAAATAAAATACACATATTTTTATGTGCCTTTAAAGTAGAGAGCGCCCAGGAGCCTGTTTTGGGCGTCGGCAAAGAGTCCGTTCTTTAAAGGCGCATATCTCAAGGCACAAGCTTTAGTGAGAGTGTCTCGAAGCCTCAACCCAGACGCCTCATTTTTCAGCACATCAACACGGAACAAACAATCATCGGATGCTAGAATCAAGCATGCTTTTACGGATTTCTCTCTCTCTCTCTCTCTCTCTCTCTCATCAAGTTTCTCAGCTGGTTGGTCGAACAACACAGATAATATCTTTCTTTTTTTTGTCCCAAATTTTCTTCTCCTGTAGATCGTAACACATTCATTTTTGTTGCTTATTTCTTCTCTTGGAAAGTTTCGACTTTTTACAAAAATGAAATACTTTGCTGTTCTGTATTATTTTCTGTCCTTGGCTTATGGAGCTCCATTGAATTCTACTAGCCCTGAATGTTCAGTGGAAAAAATTGAAAAAATCGGGGATTGTGTGAAGGTAATCTGAAAGATTTTGGAATTTAAAGATTGCTCAGATTCCAGGATCTGGTGTCTACAGTAGAGAAAATATCAAAATGGGTTGACAAAGAATACAAATTTGATGACGGAGAGAAAAAGGAGTTTCGGGATAAGTGTAATGAAACTCAGGTAAGTTTTTTTTGAACTAAATTATAGTAACACCTGTATTAGAAGGGCCCCTAACTTTTAGCTTTACGCCACAAAAAAGATGAGATTTAGTTTGAAAAACTTTTTTGGGCACTAAAACATTAAAAACTCGAAATTTCTAGTTTTAATTTTTGAATTCATGCTCAGCTTGTCATGAGCTTTAAAATGAGTATAAACAAGACTAGGTTTCGCGCAATTTGGTTTAAAGGCGCTTGTTTTAGTTTAAAGACGCATGGACCCTCAAAAAACCGAAGAACCAAGTCATGTTTATAATCATTTTAATGCTATGGACAAGCCAAATTCAAAAAATAGACCGAAATAGAAATTGAATCAAAATTGACCAAGTTCTCTTTCAGAAATGTTTCGTTTCTGTGAAATCGAGTTGTCCAGATTTCCCAGAAGAAGTCACCAATGAGCTCGACGTAATGTGCTCTCGATTCAATTTCATTATTGATAAATTTGCCGAATGTGTCCCAAAACTGGAAGAAATGAAGTGTGTCAATGAAGTTTTCGGACCGAAATCTTTAAAAGTGAGTCATAGTGAAAAGATTTGAATCTAAAAGATCTTGTGTGTCTCACTTAAAAATCAGTGGGTATGGATTTTAGAAAACATCAAACGAGAAATGCAAAGATCTCAAGGAACACGAAAAATGTGCGATTGAAGAGGTGGAGACGGCGTGCGGAGAGAAATTCAAGGAGATTTTTGTGGAGGTTTGTTAAGGATTACTGTAGAAACTTGCGCCGAATTTCCAATATTTGGTTGAGGGAAAGTTAAGGATTACTGTAGAAAGTTGCGAAAATTTCCTTCAATTTTCGTCCAGCCTCCAATGATCTTTTAGTGGTCTCAAGTAGATTTTTTGAGTAAATATGTATGAGCAATCGTCTACGGGATTCAAGGAAACAAGAGAATTGAGTATGGGGATTCTGAAATTGAAAAGAAGGAATCTGTAATTTTGTTTTTGTATTTTTATAGACTTTCAGAACAAGTTAACAGTTTTGACCTACATTTTCATGACTCCAAACCTTGCAACTATTTGTTTAATGCTGAAAAATAAACCACTACAAATCTAGGTCAAAATCGTCCGATTGATTTGAAAAGTTTGAAAAACATATGAAAAATCTGGATCTCTTTTTTTTCTGCTGTAATTTTTTCGTACCTGCTCTGAAAATATGTGGTTTTAAAAATACCTTCAAATCGGTAATAGGAGGGTTCTCACACTGTTGAGTTTGAGCTCAATTATCTCGATTCCTACGCAAGATATTTAAAGTTTGTCCACTGATAAAGTATTGGTGATATTATGAACAATATTTTAGCAATTGAACACCTTTTGATATCATCCACAGGAAGCGAGATAAATTGACTCGAAGTTAAGAGTCGGGAGGGTCTATTACAGTGTTTACGGTATGCACCTTTAAAAATATGGTGGGTGTCGCAAGTATTGAAGAAACTACAGAAAATGTACAAATAGAAAGCTTTTTTTGGTCAATGCTCTAAAATGAGCCATTTTTTCGGAGCGTCCAATTTAACTCTTTTTCAACTGTTACCGTAAAACTTGTAATAGAAGAATCTCCTCTTTTTCAACTTTGAATCAATCTTATCTCAATCCCTTCGCAAGATATCAAAATGTTGTCAACTGATAAATTGTTCATCGTAATATCACAAACATTTTATCAGTTGACAACTTTCTTATTTCTTTGACAGGAACCGAGATAAATTTGCTCAAACTTGACAGTGTAGGGACCCTTCTATAATATTACAGCTTTTGTATTGTCTTTTACAGAACTTCAACGTGGAACTGAATATGCACAAATGCTAAAATAATTGGTCTTTATTTGATTAGAAACTGATGTATGTCATATTGTTAGAACAGAGCATTTCACTCCCACTGATCCCACGACATTGTCAATATTTGACAAGTTACACTTCAAAAGTTTGTACCCAGTTTGTATTTTTATTTTCTTCATATTCCATCCGACTTTGTGATTATTGTTTTTGAAAAATAAAATGATTCAATTGCTTATCGTCTTTACACTAATCTCTTTATCTACCGAATATTCTGTAAATTGTCGAAGTCAACTTGTGAAGAATGAGATTCGAAAATGTACAAAATCGGTTCATGCCTTTCAAAATACTCATGTAAGAGTAGATGGAAATCAATGGTTGGAACGGAATGTTTCAATAGAATTGAATGCAAAATGTGATGAGGCAATGGTGAGGTTTTAGGATAAATATAATATGAAATTATAAGTTAAAAATTAAAAATAGAAGCTCACCCAAACTATTAACTTTGAGCTCAATTATCTCGATTTCTGTGAAAGATATCAGAAATTTGTCAACTGTAAAATGTTTATCATACTGTCAAAAATATTTCGTCAGTTGAACAAATTTTTGAAATCTTTCACAAAAACAGGGAAAAAATGGCTCAAAGTTTACGCTTTTCGCCTCTAATAGAAGTTTACCCTATACGTTCACTTTGAGCTCAATTATCGGGCTCTGTCAAAAATATCAAAAGTCTGTGAACTGATAAAATATTTGTTATATTATAATACAAATTTTATCAGTTGACATATGTTTGATATCTTTCCCAGAAAATGAGATAGACGGCTTTTGAGTTAACTGTTTTGCGTTGGCGTTGATTAGAGCAAATACCGTTCATTTTGAACTCAATTGTCTTTTTTCGAATGAAATATATATCTAAAATCTGTCAACTGACAAAATCTTTATCATAATGTCAACCATATTTTGTCAGTTGAACACTTTTTGATATCTTTCACAGAAAATGAGATAATTGTGCTCAAAGTTGATGATTCTGGAGACTCCTAGTAAAGGAAATACGGTAGATTTTAAACTCTACTTTTGAATCAGATTGTTTCCTGATTCCGATTGACATGATAAAAAACACTTCAAAAATTCTAGTTGTTTTCCTACAGAATTGTCTTCATCTTCTCGACAATTGTGCAGTTTTCGAAGACGACGACATTCTGTGGCTAGAAGATTTTTGTGATTCTTATGAATTCTTGACTGGAAATTTTCATCCCTGTGCTCTGAAAATTGACAAGAACACAAAGGATCCGTGTGTTCAGCAATATTTGGTCAATTCTCCATATTTTATGGTGAGCTTTTATGGAGCGCTTAAAGTTTGTTATCTACCTCTAATAGAATTACCCCCCTCCCATCTTTGAGCCCTTTTATCTTGCTTCCTACAAAAGATATAAAAAAGTGTTCAACTAACAAAATGTTTATCACAATATCACAGATATTTTATTAGTTGACCACTTTTTGATATCTTCCACAGGAAATGAGATAAGTGAACTCAAAGTTGACGGTTTGGGTAGCGTTCTATTCGGCTCTTTATGGTATTTTTAGCTCAACGACTATCAACGATGCGAGATGTTAAAATCCGATGGGTCCTGTTTGAAATCTGTGATTAACTCCACGTGCTCTCAAAACGAAGCGAATGACTTTCAATGGTTATTAGATCGACAATTGATACGATTGAAATGTTAAGAAATGCTATATTTTATTTTGTCTGTAATTAAAGTTCACTAATCTTCGATTCCATATTTCGTCATCTGAAATTTTAAATTTTACAACAAAAACCTTATCTAGAGTTACCATGTCTTCTAAAATTTTTTTGGACTTTCTTCACTAATGGCCTGCCTAACTTTGAAAAGTGGATCAATGCCATTCGATATTTCACATTTCGAAAATCTGCGGGCGGTCTGGTTTGTCAAGAGACAGACTCCACTTTCTGATATTGGCCGTTATTCCAGGAGGAAGGGTTTCGTCCTTGGGACGATCGAATAGGTACATGTGTAGCTGGAAAAATGAATACATCTCTGAAACCACAGTATATAATTACCTCGTCTTTTTTTCAGAAGATCCACGACTTTATCCTCAGGATCATACTCATGATAGGGTCCGAAGCCTCGATGGAACACTTCGAAAATCAAAACGCTGAATGCCCACGAATCATTCGCTTCGATACTAATCTTCTTTTCTATTGCTTCTGGTGCCATGTATCTGAAAAATTTTGAGATATCGTGAACACTCTAATAGAATGTCACCCAAATTTTGAGCCCATGTATCTCGGTTCCGATGTGAGATAACAAAAATGTGTCAACTGATAAAATATTAATGACATTATGAGAAACATTATTTTAATTGGTTTGTTTTTGATATCTTTCACAGGAGCCGAGATACATGGGCTCAAAATCCACAGGAGAGGCTCAAATTTATTTTCGGAAAACCTGTAATAGAAGGGTCCCTGACATTTAACTTTAAAGGCGGTGGGCGGTGAAAAATTTTATTGCGTTATATTGTGCAGAAAACCATGTAGATTCCCATAAAAATAAAAATAAATTCAAAAAAAAATCCTTCATTGAGAAAAACGGCATCGAAAAGTCAAAGTGGGAACCGGTGGCCTAGCGGCCAGGTGTGAGTTTTCTAGGCCAACTGCCGGTAAAAGCGCGCGAAATTCGAATTTTTATCGATTTTCAGTGTTTTCCCTGATTTTTGTCAGGTTTTTCCATACACCTGGGATTAAATAAACAAAAACATTTTGAAATCTTTAAAAAAACGCCAGAGAAAACACTGAAAACCGATAAAAATTCGAATTACGCGCGCTTTTACCGGCAGTTGGCCTAGAAAACTCACACCTGGCCGCTAGGCCACCGGTTCCCACTTTGACTTTTCGATGCCGTTTTTCTCAATGAAGGAATTTTTTTTTTGAATTTTTTCTTTATTTTTATGGGAATCTACATGGTTTTCTGCACAAAATAAAGCAATAAAATTTTTCACCGCACACCACCTTTAAGCCAATTTTTCTCGGTTCCTGTCAAAGATATGAAAAAAGTGTCGATTGATAAAATGCTTGTGTTAATATCAGAAGTGTTTTATCAATTAACACATTTTTGATATCTCGCATAGGAGCCAAGAAAAATTAGCTCAAACTTAACAGAGCCCTTCTATAACAGGTTTTACGGTATCCTACCTCAATGAGTTCATCTATTGTTATTTCTCCAGCTCTCGGAATCCATTTGGAACTAAACGAACAGCAGGTTGTGCAGTTGAAGTACTGTATGAGGGTCTCGAGGAAGCAAAAGGAACTGATTCGTTGGCAATTTGGTAGCAGAAGGAACAAGTGCCTAGCAGATGTGGCTGTTACAGTAATCTTGGAAATCAAGGTCACCACACGGAAACCTTTAATAGAAGGTCCTTTACCATTGAGCCAATATTTCTCAGTTTCTGTCAGAGATATGAAAAAGTTGTCAACTGATAAATTGTTTATCATAAAATCATCAATATTCTATCAGTCGCCATAATTTTGATATCTCTCCTAGGAACCGAGATAATTGAGCTCAAAATTAACAGCTAGGTGGGTCATTCTATTGAAGGTCAGAAAGCGGTCGACGTACTAAAGTACGCGAACTCTTTTTGAAATTTTATCTCAGATTTTTTAGTTATTTTTCTCAAAATTTGAGTCTAGATGCGAAAAACTAGAAGGTGCTATCATTTTTTTCACGGTGAAATTTTTAGGACGGGGAATTTTCTAAAGTAAATGCGCTCTAACGCGAATACTGTAGTTAAGCGCGCTGAGTATCGACGCACATGCTGAAAAATGAATTACTGAGTCGCTACACAGCGAATTTTGCGACCTAAAGAAAAAAAGGCGCGAAAAAATTTTAAAATACGTTCCGGAAAAATCACCGTGTTTTTGGAAATTTTGTGGGTTACTGTAGCCCCAAAAGTACGCAAACACCAGTTATCGAGTTTGGAGCTCAGATTTTGGATTTGGACTAAATCAATGCTGGTAAACACGATTGAGGCAATCAAATTGCATGAAAACCCTAAAGAACGTTTTTACAGTTTTCACGGTAACTGTGAAACTTAAATTAAATTTTCTCGGTTTCTGTCAAAGATACGAAAAAGTTGTCAACTGATAAAATGTTTGTGTTATCATGACAGACAATTTATAAGTTGACAAAATTTTGATTTCCCGACTAGGAACCGAGATAATTGAGCTCGAAGTTTTAGGGTATTTCAAAACATCGCAATTGTGGAATTCCAGAATCTAAGACTATCAGTATCTTTAGTTACGAATCTGTGGTGGTACCAGGGATGAGAACTCGGAAAATGAGAACTGCTACATATGAGAACTCGTACGAATAAGAACTCGGAGAGTACATGGCAAACACGGATTTTTTTTTGGAAAATCTTGAAGTATTGTGAAGAACGAGACCATTTCGAA